TGGATCATGTGATCCTGGACCCGCCAGTATCATGTGATTCTGAACCCACTAACAGCCATCTCTGCTTCCTGAACCATGTGATCCTGGACCTGCCAATAGTCATCTCTGCCGTCTGGACCATGTGATCCTGAACCCACCAATAGTCATCTCTGCCTCCTGGACCACGTGATGCTGGACCTGCCAATAGTTATCTCTGCTTCCTGTGGACAGATCCAGACGGATAATGAAAACTATGCAGAGGAAAGTACAGTAGAATGAGGGAGACCACATGAGCTGATAAACACCCTCTGTGCTTATTTTGAGTTGGGTTTTCTGTTACGTGAAACAAATCTGTCCAAATAATGTGCTTAGACTGGAGCAGTTGTGAAGTCCAGAGTAGGAGGAAGAATGTGGGTGATGGGGAGGGAATAAGGACTTACCTGGAGTTTCATCATTGCCTGGAAAGGTTGTGAGTTTGGGTCTTGTTCACTCCCAGGCATGAGTGCTGTGCAGCTCAACAGCCTGGCTGTGCATTGCCATGCCAGGTACTGCACTGGCGATTAAGATTCACGGGCAGACTCCCACTTTCCAAATGAGGATTTTCTCCTCTTTTATGCATACTCATTCACAAACTCCAAAAAAAGTTTCATATATAGATGTGAAAATTCAACCTGAGTAAGGTGCCCATATTGAATCAACGCAGCTGGGGTTAATTAGAATTTTGAAACAAGAATGATTTGTTCTAATAATGATCATGATGCTGTCATTTTCCAAGTGACTAAATTCTACTGATTTTATCTTGAACCAAGGAATAAAACGTATATTCTAAATGTATCCTGCCCCTCAGCTTTGTGAAAAAACTAAGATGTACTTATCTTGATTAAACATTGGTTTATCTTTTGGTAACTATCTTGAAAAGCAAATAAAACTTGATGGAGAGTTAAGCAGCAGTTCTTCATTCCTCTTTATTTTATATTTTATTTTATTTGGGTCAATCCATTCTATTCTTACATATATGAAGAAAACTGGGCTATCTTGGTTTCTCAAGTCTTGCCTTGGTAATCTAATTTTATCATCTTTAGCCACTGACACAGGTATCTCTTAAGCATGAGCATTTGAATTCTTCTGAATTTAATTAAAAGAGCAGTTTGATTATGGAGAGATGGATTATCTTCAAATTTGCTATCATGGTAAGCTAAGACTTTTTCTTCCTTGTTATGATTAAATGCTTAAGAATGTGTTTGGACTCCTGAGCTTGGTCCTACCACCTGCCTTTTGTGCATTCTCTCTCATGCAGTCAGAGTAACTTTTTTTTTTAATACAGCATTATTGAGATATGCTTCACACACCATAAAACACAGCCTTTGAACGCATATAATTTGGTGGTTTTTACTGCATTCACAGAATTGTGGGAGGGATCTTTAGTAAGTGCACCCCCACCCTTCAAAGCCTTCCAAGAGCTCTACAAGATTCACACTGGGTTCACAATTTTTTTCCTGTTGTATCTAGCACAGTGTTGAGCAGATAATAGGTGCTCAATAAATACTTGTAGAAGGCATGTACCCATTATTTTAGGAGAGGGCTTAGCTGCAGGATCTACTAAATATAGTAACCTCATTTGTGTTCTGGCAAAACATCATAAACCAGAATTTTATAAACAATAAAATGCTATAGGTTATCTGTTTTCACTTGACAACATAAATTTAGATCATCCATGAGGTGATGTGCATACGCTTCGTTCTTTAGGTAGAACACACTCGTTTTATCTAATTTCAGCCTAAGAAATTTCAGAGATGATCCCCAGATTATGTGCCAGAAGGAATCTGTTGAACAATTTTTAATTGAGTGTTTTAGCAAGACAAGCAGGAAAACAAGAAGCTAATAATTGATCAAACATTTGTTTCAAATGGAACTCTTTGAAATGATAGGCTAGAATTTGCCAACTTGTTGAAATAAATAAGCCACCCACTGAATACACCCAAAACCACTTTCTCTATGAGGGTTGCAGAACAATTTTGGGGTATAAAAATATGCACAGGCTAAATTACCCACTAACACAAAACTGAATATTCTTATCCTTAAATTTTCATATGACTAAAACTAATTACTGTTGTGAGTGAAAATACATATTTTGAAAAGCTCCCAGAGATGCCAAAAGCATTCAGACTGAAGCACCAAGCAGGTGTCTTAACAATGTTCTTGAAAATTTCCCTGCCAAAATGCTAGAATGAACTCTTGCTTGGTTTACCCCTTCAAGCAGGGACCATCTGCTGCCTTGTCCTTCCATAGACATAGCGAAAGCAAATTAAAGCAAGTTCCTTCTATTAGAAATCAGCTTTCCAAACTGAGGTGAATTCCAGGCTTAGCAAAAGTTTTGCTACCACCCTTTAGAAAACAACATACTGATTACAAAAGTACAATTTTATAACATGACCCAATAAATCACTTCAAAAACCACTAAATGCAATAAGAAGCATCAATAAGAAGCTGGTTAGATGAATGAGGGTTCGTTGAATACGTGGCATTCTGTGTGGGCATTAAAACAAGAAGGAAGAAGCATACAGTTACTAAGGAATGATTGTCCGTGGTTGTATGCGCAGAACACCAGATGCAGAATGACAAGGATTATGTGGTCACATCCTGGCTCCACCCTTCATTAGCCACGTGAGTTAGCCAAGTCCCTCCCCTCCCTCTGTTTCTCTATCTGTAAAGTGGGGGAGGGTAAGAGTTTCTACCTTGTAGGGTTGCTACAAAGTGCTCCTCTGAGATAACATTTATAAAGCACTTAGAATGGTGCCTGATATAGTAGTACCTATTATATAAATATTTGCTACTATTCTCATCACCATCATTATTAGCAATAGCAGAACACAGCTGTGTTAAAACATGCATGGGCTGTCTCTGTAAATGTATATGAGAGACTGGAAGCAGTGGTTGCCTCTAAAAGATTCTGGAGGGTCTGGGAGTAGGTGATCAGAGGAAGATTCACTGATTGACAATACCCTTTTGCAGTGATTGAGTTTCTGTTTGCATTTGTTACATAGCAAAAAGCACTAAATTTTTAGAAAATGAATAAATTGGGCCATTGATGAGAGCAATGTTTTTGAGAAGAGTATCTATGATGTTCATTATGACTCAGCTTGGAGTCCTAGTTAATCACAGGTGGCCATGCACAGACCATTTTTGACTCTAGAATAGCAGCTTTCTGGAATGGGACCCTCGGCCCAGCCCACCTCTCATGCCTGCTGACTGGATTAGAATGCCACTCAGCTGCTCGCCTCCCAGGCCTCCACGCCTCATCCCTTACCCTCACCTTGGCGGCTCCCATCCACCTGGGAGAGTCAGTCCCTCGCTGGGCCATTTTCCTGTCCCAAAGCCTTCTCTGACACCGATTTTCCCACGGCACCTGGTCCAAGCCCCTGGGGCTGGCTTTGGAGGTCCTCTAGCTTGTGTGACCACACCCGTCTGTCCAGTTCAGCCTCCCCATACCCACACTTCCCGCTCACATGTGTGACTTCTGTGAGGGGCACTTAGCTGTGGTTCTGGGTTACCTGGCTCCAAACCAGTTCTGCTCCTGAAGGTATTAGCTGTACGGCCTGGTTGGCCTTTCCCTTTCTGGCACAGGAAGGATAACGCTCCTCACTCGCAGTACCGACGGGGGTGGCGGGGGACGGAGGTACGTCCTCGGCGCAGGGACAATCCCATGGTGCGTTCCTCTTTCCTCTGGCCTCTCCCTGGCTCTGGCTGCCCTTCCATAACTCAGGGTTTCAATCCATGTTAAATATCTGGGGGAGGCCACAGGACAGGGCCTTCGCCTCGAGGAGTTTGGAGTTCAGCTCAGAGCCCCCTGAAATCACAGCTCATAATAGAATAATCAAGGGCTTAGGTTCTGTGTGGGAATCTGTGAGGGAGGTGTGCTAACCAAGGACTAGGCCATTAGAAAACCTTTATATAAAAAGCGATACATGATAGGTAAACTGAGGCCAGGAAGAAATTGGAAAAGTGCAGGAGAAGAGAGCAGGCACGGCCATTGGAAGGTGGGAGGGCAGAACTCAATGAGGAAGACAGAGACTCAGTTCAAATGCAACCCTCAAGCCTGGGATGAAAACTAAGCCATTTTTCAAAAGCAGAGTATGTACCAGTGACAGTAAATTGTGTATTTGTCACCCCCGGCACCACAACAGCTTTAAGGACTTGTGTAAACAGCACAAAAAATCAGGGGTGTTAGCCAAGGGTCATGGTACTCGCGAATGCATCAATATTTTGACTAGTGAGAGCTCATGAGTTGCCCTTGGTTTCTGGCTAAAGGCTTTATGCTTGCATTCCTTGAAGACATCTGTATTATTGTCATAGCCATGAACCCACCCCAGGGAGGCAGCAAGATCCCCTTTTGCCCAAGTCATCTGATTGTGGCCTTTTGTTTTCCCCTTTCGAGGGCTTGCTTTGCCATTTGGTGTTAAAAAGCTTTTGCTCACAGCTTGCTTCTTTTAAAACAGTCTGAGAGGTCACAGAGAAGATTGTGAAACTCCCTAAATCACACACGGATGTGCCTTCTGTAGACATGTTTTAGGTCTTCCTGCTAAGGGCCCTAATCCTCACTCCATCCCAGCGGTATTTAAGTGACTACTTTGTGCAAAACACTGTAATGAAATTGGGAAGATAAAGCTTGGCCCCAGCCAATGAGGATGAGCTACAGCCTTTCCTACAACAGCAAAGCCCACTCCGAAGTTCAAAGAATTCCCATAAAGATTAAAAAGCAAACTCCAGGCAGGCACAAGTCAGCCTGCTGAGGCTTAGCCATTTGTTTCCCAACTGTTACAGAGCTCGAAAGCTCTCAATTTCGCCCCTGCCAAGATGTATTCCATCAGAGCCTTTACATAAATCACAGCTTGTGATAGATCTGTTGTTTCAGTCTCAAGAAACTGTTAGGTCTGAGTAACTCCAGGAAAAGGGCTTATCCTCCAGGATCATAAATCTTCTCTCCTGACCGTCATGTGAAATGCATCACACTGCTTCAAATGTTCCTTCCGACACATCCTTTATTAATGATGCCTCTGGTTTTGACCATTTGGAATGCTGAATGTATATCAAAAGCCCAGGGGTTTTCACAGGTCAGGGAGGTGGCCTCCCTCCCTACCTGGAACTTAGCCAGGCCACCAGGGTGACCCCGGCAGAAGGCCAGAGGACATTACCTTGGGGCCAAACAGAAAATTCCAGATTTTGAAAGATGATCCATGAGGTACCCCCAAAGGGCTTCTCATCCACATGCACACCCTGAATCTTCAGTTCTTGAGGCCTTTTGCCTATAACTTCCCATGCACTGCGGTTTTGCCTGAAATCCCACGTGACAATTAAGGAGAATATTTTTCTGTTTCTCCTGTTTTCTTGGTGCTCATCTTTCCAACTCTGAGCTCAAGAATCAGGGATGTCAGCAAACAAATCCTGGTACATTAATAAAACAATGTTTAATTAATGTTTAATTAGTAAAACCATGAAAGTAAGAATATTTTTTACAATGAAGAAAACTGATTAAGATGAATGCACTTTTATAATAATAACTATAAAAGGCTAACCATTAATTACCTAATGAATGTCCTAAATACACTGCAATCTTTGAGAAGATGAACTAAAGTTTACCCAGAAGAGAGCAAAGGTTACTGAGAAAAAATAATCAGTCCCATAGCTTTCTACAAGGAAGAAAAATAAATACCTCAAATTTATGAAGTTATCACAGGAAAACAGGAAAAGCCTGTGCATTTGGACCTTTTTTTTTTTTTTTTTTGAGACAGAGTTTTGCTCTTGTTGACCAGGCTGGAGTACAGTGGCGCGATCTTGGCTCACCGCAACTTCCGCCTCTGGGGTTCAAGTGATTCTCCTGCCTCAGCCTCCTTAGTAGCTGGGATTACAGGAATGCACCACCATGCCCAGCTAATTCTGTATTTTTAGTAGAGACAGGGTTTCTCCATGTTGGTCAGGCTGGTCTCGAACCCCTGACCTCAGGTAATCCACCTGCCTTGTCCTCCCAAAGTGCTGGGGTTACAGGCGTGAGCCACCACACAGTTTTGCTCCATGTAAATTATAGTATTTTGGCCGGGCACGGTGGTTCATGCCTGTAATCCCAACACTTTGAGAGGCCAAGGCGGGTGGATCACCTGAGGTCAGAAGTTTGAGACCAGCCTGGTCAACATATAGTGAAACCTCATCTCTACTAAAAAATATGAAAATTAGCCGAGCGTGGTGGCACATGCCTGTAGTCCCAGCTACTTGGGAAGTTGAGGCAGGAGAATTGCTTGAACCCAGGAGACAGAGGTTGTACTGAGCCAAGATCGCGTCACTGCACTCCAGCCTGGGTGACAGAGCAAGACTCCGTCTCTCAAAAAAAAAAATTACAATATTTTCTAGTTGGAAATATAAGAAGCTTTTAATTACATCAAAGTATAATGTAAATAAGGATTTTTTGGTACTATGTACTTCAGTCACACTGAGCTGCTAGGAATAACAGTGACATGATTACGATTATAATCATTAATCATTATCAGCAACAAAAGCAAAATACAGTTGTTGAATGTGTGTGTGGTAACCATCATCCACACTGAGATACATTTGGAGTGAGAAGGGACACTATGAATACACATGCCCTGACAATAGGCATAACTTGGGCCATCACAGGTAAACATGGACATGTATTCCTTCTAACTATGTTGTTCACCTAACTCCACATCAACTCACCAAGCTAGATATTCTTATGCCCATTTTACAGAGGGGGAAACCAAGGCTTGTTCAAGGTCACACAGCTGGTGAATAGAAGAGTTGGACTTGGAACTGACTGCAATGCACTGACTTTTCTGGGCAGACTCTCAGCCAACAACAGACATGCTGAGGGCATCTTGGTACTTCCTCCCTGCAGGTGCTTGGGTCTGTGAGGTACCTGAGGCAGAACAGACAGCAAAACCTTCATTCTCTGTGAAAGGGCCTTGGAATAGGTGCCGCGGGAAGCGGAGCACGAAGGTGCCGGGCAATGGGGCTGCCTTGCCGGGGCCTCACGCATTCATCCCACAGCACTGGCTTCATATTTGCATTATCCGGGTTCAAAGGACATCCAATGTTTGGACGCAAATGTGAACCCCAGAAACAAACCCTCCGGAGGCAGAATGTACTGTTCCATCCCAGTTCTCATGTGGCATTAGGATAAGAATCGCAGCTGCCAAATTAGGATCTGTAGAGATGTCCAGGGTTATGATAAAAGCGAGTCATTTAGATATTTGTGATAAATATTGATGCCAACGCCTCCCTCCCATCAACTGCACAGCTGCATCATGCCTGGCCTCGTGCCTGATGCTTTACAGACATCACATTGAAGCCTCTCAGGCCTGCAAGGTAACGTTCCCCTCAATTTACAGGTGAAGCAAATGAGACACAGATTGCAGGTAGTAGGTAACAGGGCCAGAATGTGGTGCCCGGCGTGGAGAACCTCACAGGTCCCGTGCTTTTCTCTGTAACTGTGCAGCTCACGTGGCTGAGGCTATTTGGGGTTTGCTCTTGGAATGAAAAATAACAAAAACAAAAATCCATTGCTACAACCTCCAAAGGATTTATTACCCCAGATGTCATGCCTGACGACATGTGACCTCTGAGATGAGGGCCTGTTGCAGTCGTCCTTAACTCCTCCAACAGAGGTCCTGGTGACCTGCTTCAGGAGGCTCTGCTCAGATTGAACCACTGGTGTGGCAGACACATCACCTCAGCCCGCCCCCATGCCTTTTCTCCCTGTGGGCCAGCAGGGAACCTTTGCTAATCAGGCCATGCATTAATCTCTTTACCTATCTGCAACACAGATACCAATGGCCTTTTTCTTTTCTTTAAGATTGACAGAGCTATAAAACGTCCACATTTTATAGAGAAAAGGAATGTCCATAAATCCAATTGTAAGTGTTACTATTTTAACAACTCAAAGGTTTCTGTTGAAAACCCTTATAGTTGAACAACCTTAGTTGAATATAATAGTTTATAATTGACATAGATATGTTGCAATTGTCTAGAAGTCAACTTTTCTCACAAAGTTTAGGTTCTGTGAGACAATGAGTAAATTTAGATGCTGTTAGTTAAACCATCCATTTAACGCATACATTAATTAATGCCACCTATTTAAAGAAACATTTGTTTTTTGGATAGACTTTCCTCTTATTATCAGACAATTCCGGGCAAGTAAAAAACATTGTCAGTTTGCAGGCAAAATAGGAAATGGGTTTTCTTCATTGAACTAGACAATCAATGGGAATCTACCTGAATCATAGTTGTCCAAACAAGGCCACTGGGAATTGGAAATGAGATGGAACCAACGGGGAGACAGGAGCTGGAAAATTCTGGAATTTGCAGTGGTCATAAAGCAGCTCCTTGCCATACCAACTAGGATGACTCTGAATCTCAGCAGAGACTCAGTCTGTGTAGGAGGAGGCTGAGAGGTCTCCTTCAGGGATGACGCATGCCCACAGGGCCAGTCAGTCGTTCGGGAGCCTCCACTCTTCAGAGACACGTGTGTGCGTCTGTGCATGGCAATGTGAAATGTGACAAGGGCTTAGTTAACTCTGAAGAGCTGGGTCCTTGATTCATGAAAACAATAGTGACAGTAAATATTTGTTGAGTACTTACAAGGTGCCAAGCACCACACAGCACTTTCTGAGGTAGGTGCAAATACTACAGTCCTGTGTATAGCTGGGAAACAGAGGTCAGGGAATGCAAGGAACTGGCCCAGGGCTTCTCAGCCCTCACCCTTAATGAGGACGCTGTGTCATGTTTGTGTTGCCTGGAGAGGAGAGCTGGATAAAACACAGGATGCCTAGTTAAATTTGAATTTCAAATGAGGAAATACAAATCAAAATTCACCCCAAAATCAATTCATTCAAAAATGATTTTTTGTTGTTGTTAAGTATGTCTTGTATACCATTTGGGACACACTTATAAAAATGATTTTGTTAAATCTGAAACTCAAGTTTCAAAGGGCATCCCGTATTTGCATTTGCTAGATACGGCAATCCTTAGTGTCCTCCCTTCTCTGCGATGCTAATGATGGATTCCAAAGTTATGAATGCCTTGCTTATAAAATAATTGGCTTTGAAAATCTCACCCAACACGAGCAGTTGGAAAGTCTAGGAATAATTGTCACATATTAGGAGCTGCTCCTCCCAGATGCAAATCTGGCAGCATCCGCGTCCCTCTTAGCAACTTCAGGCCCTTTCTCTGGGGCACCTGTGGGTTCCTAGGATCAGTGCCTTGGGGCAGGGAATCACGCATCTCCAGCAGGCCACATGGAGGCCCAGAGGCTTCCAGAACACATTCTGATCCCACCCCATTAGGGGATGAAACAAAGCTTCTCCACATCACTGAGGGCTTGACAGGTGGTTCTCAGGCATGGAAGACTCCAGTTTTGAAGATGATGGAGCAATACAGGAAATGTATGAGGCAGATTTAGAAGAGAAGGAGGCTGGGTGCAGTGGCTCACACTTGTAATCCTAGCATTTTGGGAAGCTGAGGCAGGCAGGTCACTTGAGGTCAGGAGTTCGAGACCAGCCTGGCCAATATGCTGAAACCCCATCTCTACTAAAAATACAAAAATTAGTCAGGTATGGTGGCACATGCCTGTAATCCCAGCTACTCGGCAGGCTGAGGCAGCAGAATCACTTGAACCTAAGAGGTGGAGGTAGAGGTTACCGTGAGCTGAGATTGCGCCACTGCACTCCAGCCTGGGTGACAGAGCAAGACTCTGTCTCCAAAAAAAAAAAAAAAAAAGAAAGAAAAAGAGGAAAAGTCCTGTTGACATTTGGATGTAACATGCACACAAAAGATAAAATAACAATTATTATTCTCAGGTTATTGACTTGTGGGTGATTTTAATATGTGCCAGTTTCTACTATTTAAATAATATTATAACATGTGGATAAGGTTAAAATGCTTAAAAATCTCTTCGCCATCTGTCTTCTCTCTTACTTAAGGAAAAGGAATTTGGCAAGTTGCTACTCATTCATTGTTCGCATCCAACACCGAGGAGACAGAGGTGTGAAATCTGTCACAGGGGGCAAGAAGCAGGTCTGAAATTCAAAGGAGCTGGAATCCTCCTTCTCTCAGGAGACTAGACCTTCTCATTCTCCCCAAAGAGCGACAGGGCTGAACCAGGCGCTATGAAACTCTACTATGTTAAAAGAGTAACCAAAGCTGTCACTCATTAAACGTGCCCAATGCTTCCCTCTAAACCACCGAACTGTCATAGACCCTCAGAACCAGAGTGCCAGGTTAGGTCACAAGAGGTCATCTCGTTCTGGGCCACTCACTGGCTGTCCATCAGAAGTCCCCCTCTCCAGATGGCTGTCTCCTGAGGTCCTCAGCAGCTGAGTTCGACCCACTTTGAACTATGCTGCTGCCTACACGTCACATGCGAACATAGGCATCACACGGAACCGTGGGCACCGTCCCTCTCTGGAAGGTACTCAGTCACAGGGACTGCTCATAGGTGGCTAACCTCTAGGATTACTCATGGCATATTCTGGGTTTCCACATAAAGCTTTTGTTTGCAGAGAAGACGCTGGGTTTGAACATCTCTGCAGCATGGCATTACTTCTGTTAAAAAAAGCACCTCATTCAGGGCAATTCGCCTTTGAGGTCTCACATGAAATTGAACTGGCAGGTTCATAAAACATGGCCCCATTCCTCACTGTGTTTCTTTGGGAAAATCTGTTAGCCTCTCTGTGGGTCAGTTTCCTCATCTGAAAAACAGGGACAAGGCTTGTGCTTATCTCACTGGGTGGCTGGAGGAAGAGCCCGGCACAGTCTCTGACTCCCAGTGAGTGCTCGGCATACCAGATTTCATTTCTTCTTGCAAAGTGGCATCCCTGGCTTCCTGGTGGCCCCAGAACTGAGCACGCCAGCTGGTCTACGACAGACTCACTGGGGGTCCTTTATTGGCTCCGATCAGCATGCTGATCCGGAAAGTTGCCTAAAGCTTCCATTTGGGGCTCTCATCCTGCGTTTCTGGGTTGTTTTCTAACTGTAAAGAAGACAGGCATCATGGTAGTGACTTCAATTTTCAGGAATGGTTGGTGATGGCAGAGGCTGCTGAGAATCTGCAATTTCACACTTTCATAGATTCAGAGTCAGTAGATAAAAAGCATCTAGTCTTCGTGTCTCCATATACTCTCTCATCCCAAGCTGCTTTCTGACTCTCCTTAGAGACCTCAGCCTTTATCCAATGCATACTCCAACTTCTTGGGAAATGAGACTTGCAATAGAAAATTTTCCATCGTTTCACACAGGGCCAAGGGAAAACAGCCTATGTCAGCGGATTCATGATACTTACTAATTGTTCCCGCGTTCCTTGGAGGTTTAGAAAGCACAGCTCTGCCAAATCTACTGAAAATGCTTTATTCAAACATAAAAAATAGTCTTCATTTTGCCTGTCATTTTTCCTATCAACTTATAATCTATAAGTTTTCACAAGTCCTTCTACTTAGGATACAATTTGGGGAAGATTTTGCTTATAATAAGCCTAATTCTAAAAAAACTTGTGTAATTTAATCTAGTTGTTTTTGCTTCCTTAATAAGTCTAAAGTATAATGCTCTGACATAGATTCAAATTTGATTTCAAAGAAGTATTTCTCATATTTCAGCTTCTGCCTGTCACATTCTTCTGCTCTCTCAAATCAGCTGAGGTTCTGAGCACCAAGAAGATGAACACTGATTGCGGATGGGTGCCATTTCTCCAAGGAAATTATTCTGTTGTCTGCCTTTGACATACATAACACACACAAGAAAATGAAGAACAACCTTCTATTTTAAATGCCCTTGAATGCTTGAGCTGAGAGCCTAATAGGGTTCTATATACAATTTTTAAAAGGCCACAACTCAAATTTGAGAAGGAATTATAAGCAAGCAATGCTGGGAGAATGTCCTCAGCAGCACCTCCCAGCACTTTTCTCGCTACACTACGAGAAAAGCAGCCCGCGTGCCCCTTCCTCACCACTTCATGGTGCAGGAGGCGGGCTGATGCCAGGCCCAGGGACAGACACATGCCGGACAGAAGCACCGTGGCATGAAAGAAAATTCTCCATGGTCTTTGGTCACAATTACTGAGCCTCAGCAGCAACACTCCAGTTGCCGGAGGGAAGGGAAAGCTGTGCGTTGGGCATGACTGCTTTGGTGCCTGGACCTGTGCTTTATGTGAGGCCAATGCTGATATTCCTACCCTGGTACTACACCAGCTAGAGCCATCCCAGCATCCCTGGGGGTTGGTGCCTAGACTTACAGATGAGGAAACTGCTATCTAAGAGATGCTGGATGACTGACCAGGGTAGTACAGCCCATACAAGGTGGTTCTTGGATTTGAACCCGGCCCTGTCCTCTCAGAGTGGAACTCATGACCCCCACCAGCTAAGGCTGTGGGGCTCCAGACACCTGGACTCCTGGGGAGGGGGCCTGGGGAGAGATGTGGGAAAGGTAGCTTCCAGGTAGGTCTCTGGTGTGATACGGAGCTGACTGCCCTCAGGGGAGCCCAGAGAGGGCCTGACTTAGGCCCCCTCCTCCTGTCCTTCCCTGTCTCCGGGGTTAGAACCATCCCCATGTTCAGCTCCTCCATTCTTAGACAGGTCCTACAGGCTCCAGGCTGGGGCCATGCTGGCAAGGGGAGTCCCAGGAGAAAGAAGAGCTCCAGCTGGACACACCTCCAGCTCTGGGCATCTCCTTCCACCAGGGCCCTGTCTTGCCTTCCTGGAGGTGGGAGCTTGCAGCTGTTGGATTCTTCTCCTGGGCCTTTCTGGAGAAGTGGGTTCCCCAGCAGGAGAGGGAGGAACAAGCACAGGAAGGATGGACGGTGGCTCTTTCTGGAGAAGTGGGTTCCCAGGCAGGAGAGAGGAACAAGCACAGGAAGGATGGACGGTGGCTCTTTCTGGAGAAGTGGGTTCCCCGGCAGGAGAGGGAGGAACAAGCACAGGAAGGATGGACGGTGGCTCTTCTGGCTCTTGGAAGGCTCTAGGGGATGGACTCTGGGGGAGGGGGCTGGGGAGGTGCCTGGGTGGTGGTGGGGGCGGTGCATGGCCCTTGTCATGAAGGGAGGGTCCACGGGCATCTTCCCATAATACTGCAGTCTTTAGCCTGTGACTTCACCTGGATCACAACATACCAGCTCCAGAGGCCCTCTGCTTCCTGCCTTCCCTGGCTCACCTTGGCCCTGGATTGCCACAGAGCCAGCCATTGTCACAATGTCAGGTCAAACGTCTGTTGCCACCCAGAAGTGAGCAGGAAGGGACACAGGAGAAGGGCGTATCTGGAGGCACTCTGCAGCCCTAGCCAGCTGTTTCATGGAGGATCCCACGCAAGTGCGGCAGCAGGAGACGAGGAAGCAATTACTTGGGAAAGGCGGATATCAGGGAAGCATCAGGGCCAAGCCAGTCCCGCCACCCGCCCCCTCTACATGAACGGCTTTTGTTGTCAGTCACAGATACCGCTCCTGTCACCTCTGAGTCAGGTTTGGGAGTGAGAAGCAGCTGTTTAGAAAGGGGGCACCCCCAGAATAGGGTGGGGTCCTCTGAGCCCACTGTTTCGACTGCTTTCAGAGGAGGCTGTCCTGGTGGCAGAGGGGCGAGAAGGCTTTTTCAGGGATGAAAAACATTCCTGACCATTTGTACCACATACACCTCTGCCTGATCCCTGGCAAGGGTGGCCAGGAGCTGGTTGCCTTTGCTAAAGCACCATATGTATGTTTTCTGTTGTGTCTCAAGATTCAAAGCGAGGAGGTAAAAGGGAAATAATGAGAAAGGAGTTATTTTAAAATATGCCACACACTTGGGGAGTCAGAGTTTGAAAGCTGAATGCTCTCTGCAAAGTTTCCTCGTGAAGTGTTCCCATTTTGCAGGTGAGGAAACACGCCCAGAGAAGTAAAGAAACCTGTGCAGAATCGCACAGCAATTAGTGTAGAGGCAGAGCCAGAACTTCCGTCATCCAAGTGTGATCCCGCCCGATCATTTGGAAAATCGGTCTCTTTGAGCCACGAGCCGGACTGCATAAGTGGGCAGAGGTGTGCGTGTGCTCATGTTTCACACGTGGGACTGGAAAGGGAGCATGTGTTCAGGCTGCAAAATGAGGGCAAGAGGGGCCTGGATTCCCTTTCACAAAGCCGTGAAAGCACTCCGATTACCAGCTGGAACTTCAGCACAAACCATGTTCAGCTTTTCTCACCAAAATAAGCAAAAGACTTTAGTCTGAACCACAGCTCACAGAACTGTGGCTGGGAACATTGCTCCTCTCTGACCTTCCTGGAACTGCAACTGGGAATTCCTGGAGTCACAACACAACCCTTACAACGATGTTACAACAGGATGTAAGAGCCCGGAGAGTGGTAACTCCAGCCTCCCTTCCAAATGGAACAAAGTCGAAGCCTTTCGTAGCTTTAACAGAAATGGGAGTGTGGAGCAAAGTTTATCAAACATGAAATGGGCATCTGGGGTTCAACTTGAGTACCCTCAAAGGGCAGCAGGGACAGGCATCTTACGGGGGAACAGCTGCAGACCTAAGATGCCTGGCACAGACCGCTTGTGCATGCCAGGATGGTGCTCTGGGCACATGGTACAGATGGGTTAAAGGTGATGGCCCAGCAGGCGCCCTGCATCATCCCTGGGGAAAGGGGGTGGTGGCGGGCGGGGGGGCGGCAGGGGGAGGTGAGGCAGGGTGGGAGTGCTGTTCTTTCAGCCAGTGGATGTCAGCCTGAGCAAATCTCTCCAGGAGAGAATCAGAACCATGTGGAAAGAATGCATGAGTTCAGGAGCAGGAATAAGAGGAGAAGCTGGGTGGGCATGGGCATGGCTGGTGGGCACATGCCTCACCTGGTGAGGAGCTTCTGTGTGGAGGGGATGCATGTGCAGCCCTGCGTTGGCAAGTGGTGTGAAGGCAACATGGGCATGGCTGACATGCATGCAGTGGTGGCGCTGCTCCAGAACCACGTCATTACAAGAGGACTGGGATTGGGCTGTCAACTCTGATGGGCCTGAGCCTGAATTCTGGCTCTGCCTCCAGGCAGCTGAGGGGCCTTAGGCAAGACTTAGTTTTTCATACCTGCAAATTAAGGTTAATAATTATACCTCCCATTCAAGTTTGTTGTGAAGGCTAAATGAGAAAAATGCATGTAGAGAGCTTGGCTTGTAGTAAATGTTCAGTAATTGAGGACAGAAGCCAACATTTATTGAGGGATTATTATGTGCCAGGCTCTTTACCAGGTGCCAGGACACAGAATAATGATGACTGACTCAGTTACGGCCTCAGAGCTTATGGCCTGAAGAACTAAGGCAGGTTTGCAAACTGCACTAAATTTCTGGGTGGAAATATGAACATATCATATACTGGTCAAGTGAACCAATTCCTGTTTTTCTCCCTGTTCTCCTTGATGCTTGTTCTCTGAAAATAACTGCTTATCCTACAGCAGATTCAACAATAATGTTTCTATGAATATAAGTGTTTCCTGCTACCACCAGCATTGCCACCATCACTACCATCAATACTTGACCCATCACCACCATCACTATTGTTATCACCATCATCACCACCACCATTACCATTACCACAAACATCACCACCACCATTACCACCATCACCATCATTATCACCATTGTCACTACTGTCACTATTATCATAATCACCATATCACCATTATCATCATCACCATCATCACTAACACCAGCACCATCACCATCATGCCCACCACTATCACCATGACTACATCATCACCATCACCATCATTACCATCATCGTCATCACCATCATCACTGTTATCACCATCATCATTGCCATCAGCACTGTGATCATAACCACATCACCGCTGTTATCATCATCATCTTCACTATGCCACCATCACCATTATCTCTTCATCATCATCTTCACGCACATTAGGAAGCGCTTACTATCTGCCAGGCCCTTTGTTAAGCCCCCTACTACATAGACTACCTCATTGGCGTTCAAGTAGCAGCCTTTTCATGACAGCATGGGCCCGAAGCAGGTACGTCACCCAGGAGCTTGTCAGAAACACAAATTCTCAGGCCCCACGAGACCCACCGATTCAGAATCAGCATGTCAGTATTATCCCCAGTGCTCTGCAGGCATGCTCATGTTTGAGAAGCCCTGACTCAGAAAAGAAGATGGCGTTCAGGATGGCGCCGTGTCTCAGCAAAAAGTGACTGCTTTGGAGAGAGTACTCCAGCACCTTTCTCTTTCCCCTCCTTTTCCTTCCCAGGGACCCCACTGAACAATCCTTCTGACAACCTCACTAGGCCAAGAAAACAAAGAGGCAGAAAAAAATGGCCCTATTTTTGTGAGGTGGAGAGACAGCTGGGAGTGGAGAGGACAGTGAGGAGGGAGCTGAGTCATCAGAGATGGTGGGCTGGCAGCTCCTCACCAAGAGCCATGCCCTTCATACCATTCATAGCCTGGAGTCCCTAGGGAGGAGACAGTGGGGACCTTCCTGTGATGATTACCCTGAATCAGGGTATGTCTGGGTGGAAACAAGCTTCCAGAAGCCAGGAGAAGGAGAAGCAGCTAAGGACGGCCTCAGACACTGCCAGTCCTCACTTGAAAGCAGAGAGGACACCTGACAGGGAAGCCTGCACCCCTCAACACTGCCTAGGTTCTGGAATGAAAATCAAGTCCCACTGACAAAAACAAATCAACATTTTCTGAAAGTTGGCAAAGTCATAAGCGTGACCCCCAATATGCCAACAAATAATTGGTATTAACAGAGGCATAACACTTGGCATGTAAGAGTTTTTGATCCATAAAGTGCATTTTAAGATATTTTTT